CTTATAAACATTCCTATCAATATAACTGAAAATAAAGTCGATTGGAACAGTTATCGAGGCAAAACAAGAGCAAAATACTCACGTTTTCGATACGACGGCCAGTCGGGCGAAATGGCGTCCTCGACGAGATGAGGACGGCAGAGAGATGAGTCGAGAGTTCTCGTGCGCATGCCCGGTTGAGTTAATTTACTTCCGGTAGCCGTCCTAGCTCGTCCCGTCCTGGTATCTTAAGGTGCCTATTATCATGACTGCCTCACAGCCCTGCTGTGATTAACTACGAGTGTTCAGTGACTGCTTGTTGTGTTGTAGGCATCCACCTATCAGATGGGCGTGCTCCTGATGTTTAACAACTCGGACAGTCTGACACTGGAGCAGATTCAAGAACAGACTCAACTTAAAATGGTACATGTACTTTTTAATGCGTAACACCCATTTTGTCGGATACGCCCTTCGGAACCCAAACCCCCTCCAACTTTCATATAACCTGCTCCAGGAAAACATTTTGAGAAGGCTGGTTTGAAACCATGGCGTTTTTCGTGTTTCCCACTTACACGTTGCTTCGATTGGACTTCCGTTTTTTCTTCAATTGCACCTTTTGCATCCGCAGGGAATAGTTCTACATGTATGTATAAGTTGATTTTAGCTTCCCGGCAATGGTTGTAAAACCGCTGTTTCAAGCCTATCTTGATAGAGTGCCTCGTCATTCACTCCATGGCTACTTGTATATTTCTGTAGAAAGCTTGAATTTTTGTGTGTGATTTATTTTTCTTATCTTGTTCTCAGGATGTTCTTTGTCAAGTGCTTGGAATTTTGTTGAAGTCAAAACTTGTTGTGAGTATGACCTCACTGTACATTTGTTGATGGATTATGTGCTTCACTTAATTTCAAACAGCAATGACTCTGCGTAACCTAGCCTCCTATTCAGACGTTCTTTGAGCTCGCCAGGCAATATTGACGAGCCCAAAGAGCGTCTGCTTAGAAGACTATGCGTAACCAAGCTACACCGCAACCTTTAGCTGCAATCAAGGCCCGGTCAGGTTTGATCTAGTGTATGCTGATGGTCCATGTAATAGTTCTCTATATGTGATGAATGAATAGCTTCAATTCAGTATCAAAAATTTTGACTGGGTTGAAGATGATTAGGACACTGAAATAAAATTATTACCAAGATGAGTTAAACTGAACTTTTCAATTTTAGTCATCTCTAAAGTCAAGTATTTACTTCCTCGTATGGTTTACAATAATCCGGAATTTTAAGTGAACTAGACGCTCTAAGAGCGTTTACTCGGGCTTCGTACCGCAGGTAAACGTGTGGAACACAGTTAAAACTTTACATTTTGTCTAGATACCCGGCAGCCAGGAAGTGTTTTCAGAAAACTAGATACCCGGCAGTGTGAAATTATTATAGAATTTCCACGAAATAACTCATTACTTAGAGTAGTAGATCTTTGTTTAGAAATGTGAAGCGATTTCAAGTATTATTTTGGCTTTGTAGTCGAGGAAATGTCGAGCTTGGGCATACTATAAAATCTCGATGTTTTGACATTTAGTCCACAATGAAAATATTTGTTCAAAGAAGCGAAGCGACTCTAAATTATGTTTTGGTTTTGTAGTGGAGGAATACTACAAAATATTGACTCACGGGCCAGGTTGTTCAAAAACCTAGCTACCCGGCCGTCAAAAATTCACAGATAATCAATTTTCACCAAAATTATGGATATTATTTGAAACCTCCTGGGATTGTTTGAGTATTTTGATCTTTGGTCAAAAACACCAAGCGATTTTATTCAATGATTTGGGTTTGCAAATAGTCCGAACTTTGTATGACTCACGGGCACGGTTTTTCAAAAAAACTATACATACCCGGCAGTCAGAAATTGTTTCCCTTTTTCCACCGAAATGTCCATTCAAACTTGCTGAAAATGCTCGATCTCTGTGTAGAAATACCAATAGATTTCCGAACTGCGTTGAATTCACATTTCCTCGACATGGAAGCACATAACAGACCATAACATGACGAAAGTCCGCGACAGGTTGCGGATCTACTTAGAATTGAATGAATTATTCCGTGGAAATTCTATGATAATTTCAGACTGTCGGGTATCTAGCTTTTTGAATACACTTCCCTGCTGCCGGGTAAAAACACATAAAAGAATCAGGATACTTTCTAACTCAGAGTTACACTTGGATATTTACTATTCAAGTTGCTTCGTTGAGTATCCTCTATAACCAATTACATGTTGTTTGCCTCATCTTCCAAGTTCTGCTTACGACGATTCTTTGATTTTTCAACATCCCGGCGAGTTGTTCGTCTCAGCATTAGAAGTTGTTTTTTTGTCTGTGTTTTCGTAGTTTGAACTCGTAAATGGCTCCCTTGTTATCTCGTGAGAACGAGCATGAACTTTGCTTATCCGGCAGGCTTTCAAGCAATATAATTCGTGGGTCAACCCGTTCCGGAAACGATCGACATCTTCTTCGAGTCTTTCCCAAACTGTCCTCTCAAAACACAGCACTTTGTATATCACATTGTTGTTCACGAAGCTCGAAGAGCGAGAACTGTCGCATTCTCATCCCCAGTTTCCACGCACTACACTAGGAACGCCTGGGACCATGACCCCTCATTTGGCGATCAATTACGCCGACGACGAACGGCTTCCATTTTTTGACTCGGGCTTCCGTAAAAAGAGAACGTGCACTAAAGCGGATCTTGTGTGTAAACAGAAGGGTGTCATTTTTTTTTTTATTTTACTGTCACTAGCTCGCCAAAATACCGTGACTGTCTGTGGTGTGTAGTGATACCAAAGGCTTGAAGTGAAACATATTGAACAACTGATACAATTCTGACCAACTGAATAAGTGTTTTTCTCCAGGTGAGCGAGACATCTGAAGATGGCTCCAACTTAGATCTCCAGTCATCAGTTAGTCTTCACTTTGGATACAAAAGGTGAGTTGTGATGTAGCATTTCTCAACCTCATTAATAATTCATCAAGTTTAAACAAAGTAAATCATGACCGTGACGGTGTTTGGATATCTGATCTTAATTAGCATAGATTTTTACGATTTTTGTTCTCCATTTTCTTTTTAGTTTTAGTTTCTATTGAGAAGATATATCAAACACTCAAGACAGTGTTTCACCACATTTCCAAACACCTCGAAGTTCGTCAAAAATACTGCGCTGCGCGTCGTATTTTCAATTGTCTTCTCCGTGTTTGGAAATGTGGTCAAACACCGTCTTTCGTGTTTGATATATCACATCAACGGCGTTGAACTTCAGGTGTTACAAAATGAACTTTGAGGACCCATCTGGTAGACATTAAGAACATTACAACGACGGGAAAATATCTCGGGCAATATATATGTAGATAAAGAGTATTCTTTTAAAGCCCTGGACAAACTGAGACACAATTAGCCATGTTCCAAACGAGCAGGGAACTGGGTACGAATATTTAGAATCGATTGAACTGAAAAGTGGGACCCACCATCTGAAAGAGCAGTCAAACATAAGTAAGTATACCAAATCTGAGTGTTATTGGTTTAAACGCAAAGGCGTGGTACACTTTTAAAAATCGCTAATATAAGATAGTTTTGTATGGATTGGACGGACGAGCGTACAAAGCTCTCTTATTTTAGCGATTTCTCTTTCAGATGGTGGGTCCCAGTTTTCAATTCAATCGATTTTAAATATTCGTACCCAGTCCCCTGCTCGTTTAGAACATGGCTAATTTGATGTAGCGTTTGATTGCCTCAGGGTAGATGATAAACCTTTAAAGTAATGCTGGGAATTAGCTAGATTCTCTAACTTCAAGCCGCGAGCGGAAACACTGCCAGTCGACACGACATTCCCGCCTCGCGCGTTGGTGACCAAACAGTAAGAACGCACCTTCGTCTTCGTCTTTCCTTTCGTCTTCGTTCTGCTCCTCTGTTGTAGAAAATGAGGGAATTATTATTAGTATCTTTTGCCATCAAGTAGAAGACAGTTAAAATTGTTTTCCCTTCACAGTAAAAAGCTAAGAGTTAACATCAATGTACCGATGAAAACGGAACAGAGGCAAGAGCAAGAGCAAACTCACAAATACATCGAAGAGGACAGAAAACTTCTTATACAGGTACACTACTGGACAGGATTAGGGACACATCAATCAATCAACACTTTATTGAAACACATTGCGCCTAAGAGCTGAGTAAACTTGATCAAAATACGAACGTGTATGTAACTAACCAAAATAATAAATAAATTACATTGTCACGAAAACAATATAGTTAAATATCTGCAGTGTAAAATATGCCTAATCAACTATTTATATGTACACAGTAGATATCTGAATAAAATAACGATAAATGTAAATGTAAGTCTTATTTATAGTGGTCATGCACTTAGCTATACAAGCACTAAGCTTAGCTAATTTACAGGCATGCCATTGAAACAAGGGAAACAAATATTTCAAATAAACGTAACATAGTTAAAAATCCCAACTGACAGGAAGCAGACCAGCTGGCTATTTACAAAGCGTGACCGAGGATTTGAACTCGGGACTACTGAGAAACAAATCCCGCTAGTGGCAGGGTGGAGGCCCTGAACCCGGGACCTCCGGATTACAACACCAGTGCCCTTAATTTCTCGGCCACGCTGCCTCCGATAGGCCTGTAAATATACAGTCAAAGGTCTACAGTTCTCAATTTACTACCAAAATTAGCAACATCGCTGGCCAGTTTCACTATTGTAGGTAATCTATTCCAGAGCCGTGCACAAATGTAGGTAAACGAGTTCTGCATAAACTTTGAGTTAAATTTGGGTAAGCATCAATTGACGCCAGTGCCACTCGGATTTTACTGTGTTTCCCTAACACTGAGCGAGATCTTTCCAGTACAGTGGCGTACATGCTGAGAACTCATTCCCTGTACATGCCAGGAGCTATAGTCTAGACAATTTTAAAACCATTTTTAGTTTGAACATTCCTTATTAGTTTCTTACATATTTTTTGTTTTTTTAAATTCATATATTTTTAATTTTTCAGCCTTATTTTAAATTTTTTACCCATTCATTCGTAAATCAGTATATTTGAAATATTTTAGCCTTTTAACTATTTTTAATCAATTTGTTAATAGTAGTTAACGAGGGCCACCCTAATTAAATTGATGTCAGCTTTTTGATGTTACCCTCTTTAAATATTGCAATTATTCTTCTTATTTTGTGTACAGGCGGCAATCGTGCGAATCATGAAAATGCGCAAGATGTTAAAACATCAACCTCTGCTGGCGGAGGTGTTGTCACAACTGTCGAGCAGATTCAAACCTAGAGTTCCAGTCATCAAGGTATTCTTTACTCTATTTCATTTTTCAGTCATGTATGTCGTGGTTTTATTTGTGCCAGAATTTCTAGGATACAGTTATAATTAAGTTAGCCGCGGTCCTTCAGATTTTTTTCTTTCGGGGAGGGCGGCTGTGATTCAGACGGTTAGATATGATTCAAAATTGTTTTGCTTCCCATGAACAACTCTGAGACTTGCTGACTTGTAAATTAGAGCCCTTTTAGTAGCCATTGTGTAAATGTCAGCCTTCCAGTTTGTCTTTCAAAAGTTGACTTGTTTAACGCGTTTAGCTGGTGTCAGTGAGATTACATGTACTTATAACATGTGTGGTGGATCACAACAATGGCCTGTGTAGCTCATGCTGGAGTAGAAAATGACGGCTGGCCGAAAATAACTTTATTTTTTTTAACTTCCTATTGAACCCGAAAGTAACGTCCCACCCGAAAGTAGCGGCCCTTTGAAGATTAACTCTCGACTACAACAAAAAGCCGTATTGCATTTCATGTAACGTTTCAAGCAGTACTTAGATCGATGTACAATGCGACCATTACTTTTTCCTTACAGTACCAACATTTGTAGCCTTTTTTGTTTATACAGTGTTTGCTTTTTTGTGTGGGTATTTAGTAACATACATAAACGGAACTGTCAACTTCATGTGACGCGTCTGCTGTGTCTGAAACGACTGTGAATTACCGTTCAAACGTTTTTTAGCCATCCGAAAGTAGCGGCTCCTTTTGCTTCTAAATCCGAAAGTAACAGGGGGCGGGGGGCGTTACTTTCGGAATTCTACAGTAATAACGGAGTTCACACCGCTGGTGTCCTCCGCTCCAACTCGCGTCCTCTTGTTACTCGAGCACCAGCTACGCAGGCTTTCACGAGTTTTTTGGTAGTTTTAAAAATGTCCTCATATTCGGAGACCCATGGGTGGTAAGTGGGCGTATACCACTTGCCAGAAAAACACTCGTGAGTTATAGGCTTTTAAAATCAGGTGACAAACAGTAACCTACATTTTTATCGTGGTTAAGAAGGGTGCGATAGTCTTCAAAGAGGACTCAAAGCACGAGAGACATGTGTACCACAGCTAAGTGCCCCATGCACAAAGTCCTCTGTTCCTGGAATGATTTATTCACAGAAGCGATGCACTTCCCACGAGAAGACAAGGAAAACATAAAAATAGCTTTCCAGACCAGATGAAGAATCTTTCAGTCGGGCCATACGCTAAAAGTTACCAGCATTTCACCGCGTGAATTTTTCCGGGGCTGTTTTTGTTGTTGTTTGCTTTTTGTTTTTTGGGGTATTTCTTGATCATTATGGCGTTGTTTTCTGGCACTTCATCTCATAAAACCTTCGTTGAACACCATGAGAGCGATCATTGACAAAAACAACTCTGTGTAAGAGGGCATGAAGGTGGCGCGATAAAATGCGGTTCAGTGATTGGGTACAAGAAATAGAATGCCATGAACTTAATGTCAAATCGGAAACCGGAACTGGTTCAACCAGGCTAAATGTTCCCACAGTTACGCTATTGTTGGAAACTTTCCTTTCGCTGATTATACTCCTCTGTCTACTTGGTGCAGCCTCCACTGACCATTCCTGGGCCTCCGACCATGAAATCTCGAATTTCGCATCACTATATGTCCAATTCAGTAAGAGGTTAATTGTGTTTGTTGTTTATCTCTTCAGAAATGTATTGATATCTTAATCGAAAAGGAATATCTTGAGAGAGTTGAGGGAGAGAAAGATACTTACGCATATTTGGCGTAAGAACAACAGTAAGCCGACAACACTGCTGCAGGATGGGTCTGGATTTCAATTCATTAGCTGCCGCTTCATGTATCAGTCTGGACTGCAGAACAAACCACGCAAAATTATTATTTCCCCTTTTTATAATACAAACTTCACACTGGAAAGCGCCGGCAGAACAGAGCTCATAGTCACAACATGATTATTGCAAAGTGAAGTTTTAATTTGTTCATAAAAAAAAGAAAGAAACTGGTTAATTCTTGTGATTCATTTGCTGCATGGTATGGTGACCTTGTGCAGTTCTGGGACGTCGATTCTTTATCGCTTTTGACAAGTTCAAATTACACTTGAAGTACACTTTAATTCTTTATTGTGGTGCCTACTTGTAATATTTATGTATTTGCTAGTTTTTACAAACGAGGAAAACAGTCTCGTAAAATTGTTAATTTCTAGGATTCTTGAAGAAGTAAATGTTGACCAAATGTATCAGGTGCTTTGTTTGGTCGCTTCTGTTGGTATAGGGATGTTTATTTAATAAACTGGAAGCCACTCGATATGAAGTAAAAGAAAGAGTTGAACCACGTAAAAGGGATCCAAGGAGACGGTGTTAGGAACGTTGATAATAGGCCGTTGAGTTGTACCCGCAAAGAGTGTATTCAATGGCAGTCAGTTTTGCCCATTAGAGAAGTCGACAACTTTTTTACAACCATATCTTCATGTAACTGTCTTGAGTACATGCGGTTCGTTTTTTGACTGCGTCTTTGACGTGAAAACAGCTCACGGTAATAGTACAAGTCTTTACATAAACGAACACATTGTGAATTATCAAACGATTAACCAAATACGGGTAGGTTAAAAACTGGAGCACCACTGCAATGAATTCCTCGGTTTAATTGTTTTTTGTTTTTTGTTTTTTCTGCGGTTGAAAAGTCCAAGCGTTTCGGGACTATTATCCCTTCATTTGTGGCACGATACTACCTTAATTAACGCCTGATAAAAAAACGCGATGAATTGATACATTATGCAAAGCATCTCTCGTGGCAGAAAACCCGGTAGAAAAGACATTTGCAAGACAAAGAACCACAAAGCCCATAGCTCTGACCATCGTGGCCATTCAACCGTTCTCTCGTCTGATTGGATCATTAGAGGAGTGCAGGTATAATGCTTACTCCCTCGTACTTTCCATTGAAGCTAATGCTAGAATAGTTCCTTTTTTGTAGAATAAATAGCGAAAATTAGGATGAGAGTTAGACCGTTTTCAATAGCCAATGTCCATTTGTCACGCTTGGTGGATAATCTTGATATGTTGCGTAACGCATAAGAATGTTATGACGATATTAACCCCGGGGTGTACTCAAGGAAAAAGTAGTATAGAAGTATAAAATATTTTGGGCATTGTGAGTACCATAGGGAGTAAACAACTAGCCCTAAAAGAGGACTAGGTTGAATGGCTGCTGCTTGGAAACCGAAGAATGCCTCGCGGCACTCGTTGGGTTGCTATGGAGAAATCATCATGGCTGCTTTTGAATTGACCCGAAAAAACTTCAAAGTACACCGACTTAGCGACTAATTTTATGGGAAGAAATAAGAGCTTTTTTTAGGAGGAAGAGGAGGAACCCTTTGGTGGAATGTGTCTTTGGTGTGACAGACTTTTCAATGCAAACTTGAGGCGGAACAGGGTACCATGTGCATTCGGTTTCAGAAGAGTAAAGGTCTGTCCAAACGGTAAACGTTTGGCGACCAAACATCATCAAACATTGTTTAGTGGCCAAACATGCTGATGTTGAAGTGAGTGGCTAAACGGTTAAAACATGTTTGATCAAACACAGATCAAACTATGGATACAGGCCACTGAGCAAGCGTGGGGCGCATGCGCGCGCCAAACATGTTTGATACGGCTGTCCAAACGAACAAAACATCGCCCATCAAACACGAGAACAAAAGAAATGTTTTAAGTTGTTTGATCGAATGTTTGATTGGCTTCAAATTTTTTCAACCACGACCAAACATGATCAAACAGCACCAAACAAGGTGGCCAAACGGTAAAATGTTTGGTCACCAAACAATGTTTGATGGCGTTTGGTCGCCAAACATTTCCCGTTTGGACAGGCCTTAATACTGTCATAGATTTCGTTAGTTTGTCATTGCAGTGTAATGTTTGGTCTCTAACCTCCCTTCTGTGACGTTAAAAAAACTTCCGCTTGCAGCTTGCAACCGTGAGAGGTTTCCTGAAGTGATAACAAATTTGGCTGACGCCTTCCTAACAACGACTAAATTGGTATGGGATAGTAATGTTCCCTGGTATCGCCATCGTTCATCTCTGGTTGGGATATAGCGTGGAGAACTGAGAGATGTGTGAAATAATTTTTTCGGTTTAACCACTTCTGTTTTACGGCTGTTTCGGGTTTGAAAAATTTACATTCATTACCACCTTGTCTCCTTGTGGAGCCTGAAAGTGTTTGCAGTTTACAGCTACTGACTTAAACACCTCGTCTAATAGGTACTAATAATGGCATTTGGTAGATTCGGCCACGAAAGACCCTGCGTTACCATAGGAATAAAGTGAATACCAACCTCCTACCGAAAAAGATGTAAATCTGATCATATCCAGAATTAGAATGACTTCTGTGTTACTGGAGGAAAACCTGGTCGGACGAAATTCCAGCAAGCATTTCGCTGATTGCGGGATTTCATTTATTCAGGGGTCGTTAAGTAAGTGGCGGTTTAAACTTATTCAGTTTGGTTGGAAATTTTTATAATCAAGTTTCATTCTGTTGTTTATTTTTGCTTTTTTTGGCTTAGGGTAATGAATATGAAACGTGAAAATATCGAAAAATCAGACTGCCCTACACAATACCAGGACGTGTAAAAGATTGCTAGGAAATTGCCGTTTCCGGCACCGTAAGGATGATTCGTTATATCAGACTCCGTTATATCGGTCTTAATATGTACGAGTTGTAAGCTGTTCAGTGCCGTCTAACCCCGATAGGAATATCACGTGGAGGTTGGTAGTAGGTTTCAAGCTTTCCCTGGTATAACCAACTGTATCTCTGTATAACCATCTCGTTTGCACAGTAGTTTTCAACTTAACTTAGGGATCATTTTGAGGTTTTTACCATTTAAAGGTAAAATGTGAAAGTTTAAATGACCTCAAACTGCGTGACAACACCTGGCTAGTTTATCGAATACAGTCTAGTAACTCGCATTTGTGTTTGACCGCAAACTAAAGTGTTCATATTTTTAAGTGCTGGTATTACGTCTTACGCAAATTATGAAATTACAAGTTAGTCCGATTTCTAAAGCCAACTACTTCCGCCCGTTTAAGCAGGAATTCAGATAAGGCCTTAGGGACAGCCATATGGAGTGAACAAGATTTATTCTGTGGGTTCGGCTTTGTCCTATGCCATAACGTGACAATGAGTTTAACTTCTAAGGTAGCACTTCCGGTATACAAGGACTTGCAAATCCTTCACCTAATGCGTCATGATGGATGCTAAGTATCATAACATGCGATTAGCATTTCCGATCAACACAGGGTAATATAGACCTTTGATAACACCATGGACTAACAAATATTGGAAATTAGTGAAAAGACATCGATTTTAAAAAAGAAATCTGAATGCGCTTAAATTGTCTTCAAAAGACTTCACATACAAAGAAGAGAAAGCAGACAAAACTATCTTGCTTTTATGACAAGCAACGACGTGAAACAAAAAAAGCGATGGCTGCTGCCCGCTGCACACTTAGTCTGGCCGTACTATCCAGAAAGAAATTGGTTGTAGGAGGAATGGTGTCAAATCACCAGCCTCGATAGGGGCGGCCTGTTTCCAGCAGGTTTGTCAAGCTTTATGTACGTTATCTTCAGCTACAGACCCTTGGATGACTGAGTTGCAAGTGTTCACGTTTTTTATCACAGGAGAATAATTGAAAAAAGAAAAACCAAGCAACCGAGTTATTTCATGCTGCGTTCCACGTCTCGCGGGGATTTGGTACACAACACGATCATTACACGCAGAGTACATTTATAAAGTATCTTCGCCAACAAAGAAAACTGTGCCACTTGCACAGGGCCTAAATAAGAAAAGTTGGACTCTAGAATCTTCTGCTTTGTCTTTTATATTTGCTCTCTATAGAATTCTTTTGATCTTTTAAATGTTCAGGAACTAAGCCATCAAAAGAACGTGAAAATCGAAACACGTTTGTAGACATTTATTAAGATGATGTTTATTCGCTATTGTTTGTTAATAGCATGCGCGCAATAAAAATTGTAAAAGAACTCCGGAAACGAACACTGGAAGATGCTTACCTTGGCTCGTACTTAATTTACATACGGCCAATAGGAGCGTGTCTGTACGTTAAACAAACCTTCACTACTGTTTTCACGTTGATTTTAATCTTTGTCTCAAAGAGAACTTTCAGCGTGTGTTTTGCGTTGTTTTATGTCGTTAATAATATACAATTCATTGTTTGGTCTTCGGCTCAGTTCATTTTGAGCGTCATTTGTGTTCATTCGCGGGAGCGCGCTATTATGGATTTAAGCTTTACGATTGGTCAGTCATGCACAACTCATGTCAAGTGGCGGCGCCAGATCTCGTGTTATTGACATTCGCCTCCCAGTAGTTCAACAGCCAACCACTGCACACGGAAAGTTCAGTTTCCTAACCTTAAACTTCCTCGCAAAGTCGTTCCTTGCAGCAAAAAAATTCCGGACACGTTACAATGTTATTAAGAACGTGTTGGCATCGGAATTTTATCTTGCTGGCTCTTGTTTGTATGTGTTGGAATGGAAGTGTTGCCCACCAAAAGAAGCGAGAGAACGAGCATAACGAACCGTCCACAGAATCCATCCCGCGTGTTTCAACTAACGCCACAACTCCGGCTCCAACGCCACCTGAAGATACAGGCTTGGAATTAGAACAGCCGCGAAAGACGTCAGGTAATTTCAGCACAAATGATACTCTCCATTACTGGATGTGTAAGTCGCATGTGTTCAACAAGCTGTTTACCCATTGATCTTTGCAAAAAAAAACTTTCATTCACTCGTGTTATGACGCGTGTCTTGTGCCATGGGTTAACTGCAAGGCAAGTCACATGTTGATCATTTTGTGTATTGTTTCTTCGTAGGCATTCTCAATCTCGGATGCGAAGGAATCCGGATTCGAAGATATGTGTCGAATGGCCGTTGCACGAGTAGAAGACCAATCCGCGACATGATCTGTGACGGACAGTGCTTGCCAATGGATGAACTACCTTGGTTTCCGGAATTTTCCAAAATTATCAGTCGTCATAAGAGAGAGTGGCGCTGTGTAGCGGACGATGTCAGAACTAGGAAGGTGACCGTTATGTGCAACGACGGGACCAAGCACAAATACCGCGTGCGAGTTGTTCGTTCTTGCAAGTGTAAGAGATACACACACAAACAGAACCAAACGAACCCTTGACAGACGCGCTCTGTTCATAACAATAAAGAACAAAATCTACAATGGTGAACAAATGTCAAAAGACATCCCCGCACAGATGGAGATACAAACATTCCTTCACTGTACTGCTCACGATTGTAACATACCTTTGTACAAAGTTTCAGTGAGTTTGTAAATTAAATTAACTTGGCCCGGTGCCTCAGATCAGCAGTTGAACAAGAAAGCCTTTCTGTTGCGTAGCGTCCGCATTTTGTATAGATTTCTTGCCTGTCGTGATTTATCTGCAGTTGACAATATGACAATTCTAGTAGGATGATAGATTTTGACTCGTCTATACAGTGTTGGAAGCGAATAGCGTAACACACGTGTTAACCGCATGGCGTTCCATACTCAACCATACTGGACGGGAAACTACTGGCATTATGCACATTAACATCGAGTTGACCGAGGTTTGTAGTTATATTCGACCAGGAATTGTTCATGTTATTGAAGTTTAATGTTTGTCGTTTCTTCGCTAAAGGCGGTCCGTCGTTATCATCCGCCTGTCCTAAGTTTCATTCTGTGCAAATATGTAATCAGATTTCTAAAAGAAAATTTATATACATTTATATTACAAGAAGTAAGATAGATGGTCGGCGTTGCGTTTAAGCATGGCTCTTGAGTACAGGATGATGTAAATAAGCCCCATGTTCCAATAGAATCTAAAAGGAAATAGAAATCGTAGCAGTAAGATTCGTAATTTTTTTGTCATATATGATTTGATGGCCCTGTAGTAGGGACCGTTTGTACATATCAGCCCAAAATTCAGTCGGATAGTTCCTAGATTGAAATATATAAATAAAGTTTATTAGAGAATTACAATGGCTCTTTCATGAATCTCCATGGCTTTTTTATTCACAGCAATAATATCAGCTTATTGTTCAAGGACAATACACGCGTTGGACAAATAAATCAGCGCACGTTCTCGTTTCATTGGTTGGCCGAAATAATGAGCGACAACCCCTCAAAGATGAAAACAATGGCTTCTTTTCGCTTGAGCGAATGTTAAGCCATCTGAACAACACCATCTGAGTGAGTTTTATTCTGTTGAGCTAAGTCAGCCTTGAGGCAAGATTCGTTAACTTTGATTAGACCTTGTTTTCTCTGAACGCTTTATTCTTGATATTGTTTCCAAAGCTTGTTACGCGTTTCCGAGCCAACTAACAAATGAATAGAATGGCTGACGTCAAAGACGCAAAGATTTGCTATGGAGAAATCGTTTTTGATTGGCAAGATCAATGTTTTGAGCCGACTGAACGCGTGGTAACGATCGTAAAGTACGGCTGAAGTGCGCTGTCCGTGATGGGTTTTATTATGTAGAGAGTTGGACGACACGTGGCGGGGGCGTAATAACACAACAATGATGAGTACACCTGGCCAGAAGAGAACTTTAACAAACTATCAAAAGAATGTTACACGCTCAATACTGTTCAACACTGAAAAAACTTGGCACGGTTACAGATACGCCCTTGCGCATTGTATAACCCCGCTTAATCGTGATGCATGTGGGCCGTCAATAAACAATGACGGTTTACCTGCATGTAATTAGCGTACTTAAGTCATGTAAAATGTTTTTCCGCCATTTATCATTCGCCCTTCGCCCGACGTAATTATTTGTCTTTGCTTACGTTTTCGTAGTTATTAGTAATATGCTGCCAAGTGTGTCGTTAAACTATAAGCACTTGATTTCCGGGGCGGTTGAGTTGAGCCACTATCTTAAAGAAATTTGTCAAATGTCTTACAGGACTTATGGTACTTTCATTTTTAGAAACATTACTATTAAACGACACACCTTCAAATAGTAATGAGCAATTTTTGAGATGTTATCTGTTATGTGTTATTTTCCGAAGTTTGTTCTGTGAATTTTAAAACATTATCTGTTCAAAGATCTTTTCTAAGCCTTGTGAATAAAGTACCTCATTACAGCGATTTGCTTCGGATATATGGTGGTTCGGTTTAGGGAACGCACGCGAATATCTTATGTAGAAAAATAGATAGAATGTTTGTAGTCTTGCATCCCAGTTTGACATAATGCGTGTAGAGCTGGTCACGTTAGTTTCTTCCCGTTACGATGATTTCAATGTCTTACATGTAATTTCCGTGTTCAGTAGAATAATACTGAAACAGTTAACAACTGTTCTCAAAGTGTCTCATTTCTGCTGGAGAGCTATTGAGATTGTTTCGCTTGGTCGCTGGGTGTTACTTAGAGAGTGCAACGATTCAACTTCGATGAAGCTCTTTGTTCTTTTGGAATTAGTAACGAGTAATACTTGGTCAAGGGCTAACGCACAAAAAAGCTAACTTCTTATCTCACAATAACGGAAATGTGCACTTGATTTCTTCTTACAGAAGGACCTCCCCTTGTATCTGTACATTATCAAAGAGATAACGTATTTTCTAGTAGCAGTGACTACCAAATTTTCGAAGCTAACATAAAATAAAGACTATGGAATGCAAATGAAGATTGGGAACCACAAAAGATTATATTACGGTGTCAATTGTTGGCTTGTTTAGATCCAGAATAGATCCCTGCATTATGCCAGTAGAATAAGCCGCGATAAAACAAGAAAAAAATGTGATCATTTTAAAGTTGTCACAATATTTTGCTTGATTGAGAATTTCAGTTCGATAATAATAATGATGATGACAACAAATGCTAAATGACACATTAGTTATGTGTTGTGATCGACGCTCTCACATGTACTGTAATTTCAAGTGTAATCCATGGACGTCTCTTTTGCTTGCACTGGAGAATTAACCTTCAAAACAAAGTTTTAGCTGTAAACATATTTTGTGTTTTCCTCACGACATTAGTCACTACCTCCCTTCAACAGATCCAAGGTTAACGTTTGCTTAATATTTATGTTGGCCTAATTTAAAAAAGGTTTTAATTGCTTAGCCCTTGTTTCTTTTAGTTAGTCAGCTGAGTATGTCTGCAGCACCTGATTTTCTCTAAGACAGAATCCTTAGTGTAGCAAAAGTTACATGTAACATATAAGCTTCAATGTAGAGGCTTGTCAGTTGCAACTGCTGTCGCATTGCAGTTACATTGGCTGGCATTGGAAGTCGCTAAGGAGACCTTCGAAGGCCCGGTCCACACTGCACCTGAGGAATAAGAAAACGGAGGTTTCACTCTGAAAACGAATCAAATGTTTACCGTCCACAGTACGCCGGAGGAATTTAAAAACGCAACAATCACCGGTCATTTTGGATTTGTGTTTGAGGAAAACTCGGTCAGGGAGATCACATGATTATCGTGATGCCATCGTTTTCGAAAAGCTCGTTTTCAAAATGTTTTCCGTCTACACTAAAACGAAAAGCTGGCGTTTTCAAATTCCTCCGGCTTGAAGAATGTTTTCGAAAAGCTCCGTTTTCGTGACGGATTAGTGCGGACGGTAGGCCTAACCGTAAAAATAAAGCTGCGTTTTTACATTTCTACGGCATTGTGAGGACGCTGCCTAAAACAAAAAACTTAAGTTACACAAGAGATAACGGACTCCTAGCCGGTGTAACTCTGCATTGGACAGAAAGTTATTCACCTAATGATACCTACACAAGATCTATAGCCAGCCAGAATTAATTATACTGATACGAGCAGAGATTATGACTAAAAATAGCTGGGTCATAATGATCAAATGTTGACAAACAATTTTCTTTTAACGTTAAATTTTCCTCAGTGTCCTGACTTTCTTTTTCTGTCGAAAAGCAACATTCCTGGGTATGAACAAAGTGGACAGAACATGCAGATATTTTCAGATGAAACAGGTAATTTTCTTAGTTGTATCACGCGCCTCGCCGCAGCAGCTGGTCGGGTCGTCTCTTTAATGAGCCTTAATGAAGCTTTTATTATCTGAAAAGTAATTAGGGAGAAAGGTTATTAGAGGAAGGTCAATATATATTCTATTTTTAAGCACGGCTACACTGTGTTCACACGCCCTTTGGCTAACAAAGAACTTTTTGAGCTCAGGCGGCCCTCAAGCCCCTTATGTTTGTAATTCACTCTGGCCCGAGTCTGATATTCATAACTTTGCTGGAGGGAATAAGTTGCAACAACTTATTTCAATGTAAAGGGCTTCTGTTCCCTTACAGTTAACCGGACATTCTAGAACTTGAGTAACGAATAAAGGGTACACCTGTAGTAAGCGCACAAGTCACAGAGCTCATTATTTACCAAGTGATGGTCAGTGCATTTTTACGCCTCGCCTCACGATCACTGACTATCAGACAAGCGAGAGGCCGGTCTAGTATCACAAGTGTACTGAATTGTGATCAGCTCCTCTCGTTTATAAATTCAGCTTTCTCATATGTTGCTCTTTTTTTTAGGTCGGCCGGGTTGACATTGATTCATCTCCACAAGTATGCTAGGGGCGTGAATACTGGAAAACGATACTTGAAACCAAATACCCGTTACATTTATAACATGCATGATCGTGTTTGAATAGAAATCTATCAAACAGGAGCAAATCAACAACCTGCTAAAACCATGCTGTGGTCAGCTTACGTGTACACACAAGTCACACAACTTTCCCTGCACTGAATGCAAAACGAGTACAAACAACACATTTCTGTCAAGTTCTGATTTATTACGTTTGTGCATAAATCTTGATGCCCCAAGAAATCCTCAATAAAGATCACAAGATATCTTCGTTTCATTTTTGCGTACAAATGAAGATTGTCTCGAGCGATTGAATGGCTATTGTAAATCGAAGGATCACATCAAATCAAATGCGCAGAGGACAGCATGCACCCAATCAGAACTGGAGACAGAACAAGCCACTAGAGGAAAGGTGCGTAAGCCAGGTTTTGCAACAACAGTTGGTTTACCGTGCTCTGATTGCTTAAGCGACAAGACACGAGTTCTTTAACAAAACACAAGGAAACGTTATTATCTTCAACAGTTAATCAGACCTCACTCAAAAAGATTAAATTCGACTCCAGGCAGTATCATTTGCAGAGCATCAAACCTCGTTGAGTTAGTTTAACCCCAAAATATAAAAGTCTACAGTCTTACAATTGCTTTGGAAATGAAGATGGGATGTTAGTCGATTGCTCCTACTACCATACACCTTCAGCTTTCAATTTGCTGTCTCATCTGGCATCTCTATTACCACATAGAGCCAGACCAGATTTTCACTGACGTAGCGTATCTACTAGAGAAAGGTTAACAGTAGTTAGACTCAGCCAGCAAAGTAGCTTTTAAGTGATTAGTTTCTTCATTGCTTTCTGAGAGGATAAGAGATGCTTTACAACAACTCGATAAAGAAACAAAACAACTTCTGCAACATAATGCAGTGGTATAAATGATGATGGGAACACAAAGCTAGCAAACCTAACCCTGCTTTAAGACAAACTTCAAATGCGTTCACAACAACTTCCTCTGAAATCTAATTGGACTTGTTATTCTGATACAATCCTCAAGCTAGTCACTATCCAATAAGAAACCATATGATTTATCAATACAATAGCCTGAATAGAACCAGTTCCAAAGGTGTGTTGTTATCTTGAATATAGACAGCTTTATTTAGCTGATCATTGCTTTTGGGAATCCAGGGGTACTTTTTTACATGATTTGAGAATGCATGTACAGTCAAGAGTTAATGCCCTGCTGGCCTTAGTCTTATCCTCTGTTCTTTGACAAAAACTGCAGCACCTTTTTCCATCTACACGAATATATGTGAATTGTTAGGTACCCTGACAAAGTGACATCCTGACAGCCCATCTAGTGAGAACAGTATCTTGCTTCTATACTATGATACTTACTTAGGGACCGTTCATTTTTAATAAGGTAGCGGGGCTGGGATTTAGTGGGGAGTCGT